TCGGTTAACAAGGTGTTTATTGTATGGCTGTGTCTTATATGTCAATTTTTTATATTCTTTGTACCTTTTTTTCCTAGACCGGTCTAGATGCCGGTCTAGATGGGAAAATCTAGACCGCTTTCAATATTGATTTCAGCCAATCAAATTCGGGAATTCGGTAGTTCCCAGTCCTTGTGAGACACAGCCATATAATAATTGTTTTATTAAAAAAACGCCCCCAAGATATTAGACAAATCTTCTCGACTTTATTTTGTAAGAAGAAATCGGATGCTACAATGTACAGATATTAGATTATGGTATATTGGCTCATATACCATAATGGCTAAGCCAATAAAAAGTCTTGAATTGCATTATCCAATGATCTAGTTTTTAATATAAAAACTGGATCATTGGATAATGCAATTCAAGACTTTTTATTGGCTTAGCCATTATGGTATATGAGCCAATATACCATAATCTAATATCTGTACATTGTAGCATCCGATTTCTTCTTACAAAATAAAGTCGAGAAGATTTGTCTAATATCTTGGGGGCGTTTTTTTAATAAAACAATTATTATATGGCTGTGTCTCACAAGGACTGGGAACTACCGAATTCCCGAATTTGATTGGCTGAAATCAATATTGAAAGCGGTCTAGATTTTCCCATCTAGACCGGCATCTAGACCGGTCTAGGAAAAAAAGGTACAAAGAATATAAAAAATTGACATATAAGACACAGCCATACAATAAACACCTTGTTAACCGACCTAGGTCGGTCTGTATGGGAGAATCTTGACCTCGGTCGCTTGTACAGACCTCACTTCGTTCGGTCTGTAGTGGCGACCTCGGTCAAGATTCTCCCATACAGACCTCCCGCTCGGTTAATAAGAACTAAGTATAGATTGTTGTAATGATTTTAGCTTATAACAACAGTTACGGCATGTAGAATCATAACTTAACCTCAAAGAGAATTTTTTTCACCGGGAAAGAGAAAAGAAATTTGATAGGAATCCTGTTTACAAGGCCCATACCAAAGCGTCCGAGTACTGCTGCAATTCTAGTAGTTTCCAAATCAATGTCATGGAAAATTTTGTCTTTCACATTAAGAAATTGAATCGTTAACTTTATGACTGGAGAAGTCCATAAGAATGAAATTGGGTGAAGCAGGAGGGAGGGCTACCCATTGGATGAGGGGAGAGGGGAGGGACAAGTGTAGTGTAGGGCGGCTGGTATTGATGACCTCAAAGGAAGGTGCTACGCCAGTTTTAGAGGAAATCCTGCATGTTAATGCATAGATGATGTACAATCAAAGTATTGTTAATCAGTAGTATTGTGGTTACTGGCAGACCTAATTAAAGTTTCAGTAAATATACAGACTTCAACTTATCCGAGACATTAATTCTTGTGAGACAACACTAACATTGCCTGTAAAGAAGTTAATGGTGTGCGAAGTAAAAAGTGTTACAACTTACTTCTGCCAGAGGCTTTTTTCGATAACACAAAATTGAATAACACTCGCACGAGATTACAGGACCACTGTTGTAAGTTTTACCCTTAAATTACCGGTACCCAGACCCAAGCTGCAAACCAAATTATAGTGATGGAGAGTAACAGGCTAAATTTTCAATTCACCATAAGTAAAGATGTCTGCCATCGCTATTTCCTTCTTATCAACAAGAGATCGGGCAAACAAACCTTCAACGCCGGGTATGTAGGTGGAGCCTCTCCTAATGGAAGTTACATGCTTCTGATTTGTGTAAGAATTTTCAACGCAATAGTGAACTAAAATAAGACTACTTACATTGAGTACCCAAACAAAGCTTTTTTGAGAGAGTTTGAAGGTTAATGATTTTCACAACGCGCTTGAACAATGAAGAGATCGATGAGAGCCCCCAACTTAAAAAAAGAATTTTTCTCCCAAATGGGTTTTCCCTATAATTTTTCCAGGAATCTCGAATTCGCCTTAGTCACATCGTGTCTCTTTTTCAAACTGCTTCGGTCTGACCTTCAGGTTCATATTGGCTAAAAGCGCAGTCGACCGTCTCAAAAATCCAAATTAACATATCCGAGAGTGGGAAGAGCAACCTAATATCCTCTATGGCAAAATGGTCAGATCTACTTTTCAAAATGACTTTCCGAAGTCTTGCATTGCCTTGTTTTGGACAACTTTTTCTCGTAACGGAGTAATCTCTTCGACTTACCCTGTTTTACACCGGGTGGGCCTAAAGAATCAAATAGTAATAACTATCTCGTAATTCACCCATTTAATACATACTGGCTGCCATATCTAACCCTTCAAGGTTGATGTCTTCGAGATCATATGGCTAGGTCAAAAATCCAAAATCCAAAATCGTGAAGGCCGGACTCCTTAAAATTTTGTCAAACGGTGAAAATAAGATCTTTGTCAGTGTGCAAGAGAATATCAATATTCTCTTTCAGTGTGTCAAAACAGCCAAAGGCTATACTCATTTATAAACGTAATTAAGAGTTTTTTCATCCTTTCACCTGCGCATCTTACGTTGATTAATTTTAGTGCTGTAGGCACATACTTCGGATATCTGGTGACGAAATTCCAACAAATTTCGCTGAAGTTCTGAATGCCATTACATCTGGTGAATCCTTTATTTGGAGTAGTTACGAGTACTTGCGCGTGAAATATAGTCCCCAGTGTTTGTTCCCATTTAACCCACCCCTCCCCCCATCGCCACCTCCCAAAACATTTTAACGACAGTCCACTTGACATAGCAATTTCCCGTCCGGACATGGCATGTTTGCATTATTCATGACAATCGAAGAGTGGTTGTGCAACACAAAGGATAAGATGTGAAGACCAAAAAATGGGAGCCGAAACAGATCTTCATAGATTGGTAGATTTAGCCTTGCGTTCTCCGGATGCAGGTGTCGTGAACTTCAATCATCTTCACTCTCTTCTTCACGCTATTTTGAATCACATTGGCCTGAGTTACGACCCGCAGAATGGAGTGCTAAATACTCAGTTAGCTGCTGCTCATGTTGAAGGAAAGGACAAAAGTACTTCATTTGAGCAGTTAAATGGACCAGGTAAAAAGATTTCCGACGCTGACAATTCCAATCGTGATGATAATCGCCGGGATCAAACAACGAGTCAGTTGGACCAAAGAAGCAACTTCGACAGGTTTGATTAGCTGTTTGCCACACTTTTATTACAAATCCAGTCGTTCGAATATGCAAATGTTGCCTAAGCTGTGAAAGTGGTGTTCACGTAACACTCGTTTGTTCCATTTTATTATAAACACCGTTTCGTCGAGTAGTATAATACAAGTACAACAGCGAAACTTGGAAACCTTGATCAGCGAACCGTAAGCGTTTCATGATAACAAGGCACTTGGTTCTGTTTATCACTTTAACGGGCATTACTTTCAGTGTTCTTTTGACAGAAAATTTGGTGAATGTTATAAATTATTCAGATTTCGCTTTAAATGCATTTTAACGGCTTAAAGTTAATGATCGAAAATGGTTTGTCGATGTACAGAGCTGACTTTTCGAGAGCATCTTTTCACGATGAAATATTTCCCTCGTAATCGCGCGGAAATAGCACATATTCTTAAGCGGATTTTCACTAATTGCATGTTATTCATTATCAACAATGGCGACAAGCGATCAAAATCCAGCCATGATTTTCGTGTAGCCGGAGGGTTGATTCTTTATACGTATTTTGATGCAAGTAAAACCTTGAATTAATCCCCTTTGTGGCATGGAATTGTTACTGGAAAACTTCGCAGAAAGAAACAGATCATTATTCAACACTACACATTCTGTGAGTTGTTGACGGTTCGAAGTATTTGTCGTCGTGGAAACGAAGAAATTAAAATTTTATATTTACTTAGCATCTGTTCAGTTAGGCACCATTAGAGAGCCTTTCTATGAAATTTCAATTTTGTTTTAGACGCTTTGTTTCAGTCTTTCGGTTTGGATTATAGAGATCCCACTGTTCACAAATTTAACCGTTCAGATGTTTTGATAGAGGTTGAAAATTGTCACAACTATGCAGGGGACTTTTTAGGTTTGCTCTGCTTTCATTTATAAACCTGATATTCATAAACACTTGACAGTGTTTGCAGTAAGGGACGAATGCCAACTTATTGTTTTCCCAGTTTTTTTTTTTTTTTGTCTTTTTTGCACAGTTTAGTTCGCGGAATTATCTGTGTTTCAGCTAATCAAAGTAGAGAATATGTAGACTTGCGCTTCAATAGGCTTCAGATTCTGTGTTTTCCTTTCAAACAAACCAAATTTTTTATTGAGTCTTGTGCCATTCATGATGAACTTAAGAGGAAAAAATGTATCTAAAGGCCATTTAAGGCCCTGTTTACAAGCAGGTAGGGTAACCCTAGTGCAAGGGTTACCCTGGCAGGAGGGTTACCCTAACACTCCCACATTTCTTCTTTTTTTCATCGACATGTTTACAAGGCAGCTAGGGTTACCCTAGCTGCCTTGTAAACGCTCTGGTGGGGATAACTCGCCTACCCAGGTCAACTTTTTACTTGTTTCCAGACCCTTTGAACATTGATAACAATGCGTGTGGTTTCCAAGCATAGGTAAGTTGTCCCGGGTGGTAGGGTAACCCTACCTGTGAAATTTTGCTTGTAAACCCGGGCTACCTTTGACCTGCCTGCTAGGGTAACCCTAGCGCAACCCTAGCACAAGGGTTACCCTCCTTACTTGTAAACAGGGCCTAAGTGTCTTGAATATAAAAATGTCATTAGTCTAAAATCCTACAATGGTCCTGATTCCTTCTTTCAAATAGTTTCTTAAACCAATTATCAGTATTGGTTTGAATCAATTTTTAATGTAGTTTTAATAATAATGTTTAGTATACTTTTAATATATAATTTAATATTTAATCTCCTTATTTATCTCTTCCATGAATTTTAAACACATGAACCAAAATTCAAATTTTAGGGTTATTTTTAAGTGTAGGGCAGAGCAAGTTGAATCACCCCTTCACCACCCTATCTGTCTATACAAGCAATAACTAACATTTTTGTTGTTTCATTGGATTTTGATGCCACCCAGTACTTTGGATATTTCTAGGAAGCATTCATATCTTATCTCTCAGTGTCTGTGGGAGATGAGCTTGAAAGCTAAACTTATGGCTTTACAATTATTTGATAAGCAATCTGAACTTTGATTTGAGTATTATGAAGGATATTTTATTTCATGTCTTTTACTCTAACTTCATTCAACAATTGTCAATGATCATGATGATCTAAATTCAGTTTGCAGATGAGGCAACAAAACCTTGAGAATAAAGTTCAAGAACTAGAGGACAGATTAAAAATCCTTGATAACCTTCCATCTACTCAGTTTATAATTGAACAGGCGCAAAAAGATTTAGGTGTAACCCAAGAAAATGTATCCAATCAAAATGTGCTTTCTGGAATGTGGCAGTTTATGAAATTTAACAGGAGGCTTCAGGCCACAGAAGAGGGTATTGATAGAGTAATGACCATTTTGAATGAATTTCTTGGAAGTGATGGGAAAGGAATCGCTGGAGTGAAAGGTGAAGTGGAGGATATTGCCAGTGAACTTAGAAATCTGAAAGAAAGATTTCTTGGTCAAAAGCCACTTCAAGATGATAATCTCGGAGAGAATCTGTCAGAAGGGAAATCCGATGACACCAAGAACTCTCAGTTACTGCAGCAACAGCTGCATTCTCTGGAAAAACAACTTAAGGATAAATTTGTGGCAAAGGATGACTTGTCAGTTTATGTTAAATGGCCTGCCCTTGAAGAGGCTCTGAATGTAAGGAAATCAGACTTCGAAAAGAAATCTAAAGAGGATGGTGGTGTTCTTGATAAAGAACAAGGCTTTGTGTTAGGCAAAGAACAAGGTAGTGTTTTAGAAAAGGCATTTGATCATTTTGAAAGTGAAAATAAGGCATCCGATACAGAGTCAGATGGGCGTCCACAGAGTGCTCCAGTGCCATCTACCCAACAGACACCAGTGCAGACACCTGAGGTCCCTAAGACTGCCTTCACAAGGAGTACACAGGTTTGACTGTAATATCCTTGGGTGAATTTATGGTAGCTTATCAGAATCAATTCAAGCCACTTTTCACTGGTGTAAGATGATTACTGGTTTCAATAGTTAATGATATGACCAGACATGCAAAATGTTTTCTTGAAAATTACTTAGTACGTATATATGCCACTTCCACTTTTGCTAAAGTTTAATGGAAGAGTGACTTTGTATTCTAAGTTGACAGTTGTGAAAACTCAGGAAAAAGCTAAACATTGACCTTACAACATAATTTTCACCTGATCATTTTCTGTTTCTTGCAGGTAAACATTCAAGAAATGCCCTTGGTAGCTGACCACCCTTCTCAAGAAATGGTAGAATGTCTTAGGCAAATTGGGGAGCTATCTGACAAACACAATGTGGTAGAAAAGAAAATTATGAATGTTATGGAAGCTCAAGAAGAAATAGCAGGAGAGCTAGCCAAAGTGGAAGAGACACTCCCACAGAAAATTAGCAAAGAAGATTTACACATTCCTGATGACTTGCAAGATCAACTGGCCTTGCTAAAACAAGGTATGTGAAATGATTGTGCTGTGCATAATCTTACTTTTAGCATAACCATTCTCTCACCTTATTGTAATCATCCATCATCATCTTTGTTATCATCACATGAATGATCATCTTTAACAAACCATAACTATAAATTATTTTGTGTCAGAAAAATTGTTCTACAAGTCATTATCACCATGTAATCATCATTATATCACATAAAAGACACTCTAAAATTGATAGGGTAACTTCACAGTCAAGCAGTTCTTTTCCATAACTTATTCATTAACTTGGTGGAGACATTCTTACATTTACCATTTATGTTGTAGTTTAAACTGAATTTTAAATCCTAACCATTGGAATTTAATTTTGTTTGTTCCCTTTTCTTTCTAGCTCAATTAGTAGAGTCAATAAGCAAAGGAAGATGTAAATCAAACTAGGGTAGTTGGAAACTGATTTTTAACTTTAGTCCATGTTGTTAAGATTTCCTTCCAAGCGAGTGTAGATGTCTAAGCACTGACCAATATGTAAGCTGATCTAAGTTTCATTTGAAAAAGGTTTGGAATTCCTCAATACAAATCAAGACTTGGTGGCATTGGCTGAAATCAAGAAAATGGCTCAGGATAACAAGGAGCATATCGAAGCACTTAAGCGTGAACTGGCCATCCTTGCAAGGCAGAGCAAACAACAACCAGCTTTCACAGGAGTGGTCAGCCAATCACCCGCTGTGGACAGCAGTGTTCTTGATGCTATAAGAGAACATTTAAATGAGCTTCAAACTCAACAGGAAAAACTTGCCATAGCTACAGATAGGCAAACCTCTGAAGTTGTGGGAGATCTTTCCAGAAAACAGGTGGGTGTTTTTTGATAGTAGGAAGATTCAGCATGGTAGAGTGGAGAGGGAGTGGGACTCTCACTTTAAAGGTCCTGGTTTCCAGTCCCACACCAACCACTACACAGATTTTTTTTTTTTTTTTCTGGTTAGTTTCCAGTTACTCCTCAACCAGGCTTGTAAATAGCCAACTAGTTTTCTTCCTGCCTGGGTTTAGGGCTTGAATAATCATGTTACCATTGATTTGTGTTATTTGTTCAGAAGTTATTTAATTAGTGATTTAAACCAGTATGCCACCAATGTCAATTGTCAACAACTAGGTCACCAGAAATTTAAAGTCACTCATGATGATGTAAATATGAAGGTGTATGCCATGCGAGTTATTTTAGCTAGTTGCAAAGCTTAGTGAAGCAAAACTCAACACTTAGGTAAGCACTTAGCTGGTAAATACTACCTTTTGATATTAGTCCATTCCTGTTTTATGCAGGAACACATTGAAGCCTTGTACAACTATGTTGAAAAACTGCAAGAGAGCAAAGCGGATAAGGAAAATGTAGCCATGGAAATGGACATTAAAGCTGATAAGGCCTCACTGGACAGTAAAGTGAATATATCAACATTTGATAATACATTTAGCATGCTTGACGAAGGGCTTAGAGAAGCACTACAGAAAATGGATGATTACATGAATGAAGAAATGGCATTAAAACAAGCACTGAAGCAACTGTCCGTTGATATGTCAGAAAAGATGGATGGCCAAGCTTTCCAGGCACTAAAAAACTACCTAGGTGAGTGGAGGGTTTTACATCAGGGCTCAACGCTAACTTTTCAACTTACTAGCCAAGTAGCTGGTGACAACTTAGATGTTACAGCAATTTCAGTTTGTTTACTAGCCAAACTGGGTAGTGGAAATAAAAAACCACTAGCCAAAACTGAATTTCTACTAGTCTGTGGCTAACTGGCTACCGTTAGTGTCAAGCCCTTTGCATCATTTTTTTTCTGCATTTCATTCATTTGAGGTCATAAAAAATCTGTTTCAGGGAATCCAGTTAAGCATAAACACGTCTAGGGTTAAATTTGGCTAAAAAAAGATACAGGGGTCCGATTTTTCTTATTTTCCGTGTACACTGTGAATGTGGGATACCTTCTGATGTAGTGGTTTGTATTGGACTCTAGATCAAAGGTCCAAATGCAAGGGAGTCATTGAGTTGTGTTGCTAGGCAAGCAACTTACCCATGCAATGCCTCTATCCACCCAGTAGTAAGTGAATGGGTACAGAAAGATTGTCACAAACACCTGTTAAAAAGCAAGGGGTAACCTGTAACGGACTCGCAATCCATGCAAGGGTAGAAACGACCCCTCTTGTCACTGAAAGCAACAGCAACTGGAATAAGTTTTGGCGGCGAAGACCACTTCGTTCGCGTGGAGGCTTGACTGGAAACTTTAAGGTTACCCTTCTAGAGCTTCACCATAAGCGTAAGACTCTACGGGACTCTTGACGAAATGCAGAGGGGTAACCTTTGATGGACTAAAGTCCCATCAGGGTCACAGACCTGCAATATATTTTCCTCTAAACTTCAGAATACCCGGCCCCATCATGTACATGCCATTGAATAAGAATAGCGCCTATTGTGTTATACCTCATTCTTCAAATCCTCCCGACATATGTTAATGATGTGGAAGGGTATTCTGAAGTGGCTCCATATTTTCTTTCTCATACTTACACCAAAGTTGTTTGGTGTCCATAAAAAGCATTGAAGCCCAAAACACGCCCTTTGTCCGACAAAGAAAAATTTTCTTTTAGGATTTGTTGTACGAGGAATTAAATTATTGTAAAACTGTGTCAATTTTTGCTTCAGAAAGGCGTATAGCAGATGTACAGAAGTCCAGGAACATGATTGCAGCAGAAGCAAAAGTGGATTTTTCGGATGCAGCTGGCTTCCGCAGACCCATCAAGTTTAACTGTATCTCATGTAGTAGACCTGTGGAACTTCCTCTCAGGGGACCCCTCCAGGCCAACCTGCCAGCCCCCAGGGGGGTTCGGACGAAAAGGTCCAAGGGCCCATATCTGTCATACGAAATGGATCAGGTGAGGATTGCTGTTTCTTCTTAAGGAACCCTTAATTGGTTCGTTCCACTAAACGCAACCAAGGTTTGAGGAGTCCTGCTAGATTAAACGAATTGCACCGAAGTTTCAGTTACCCTTTATACCACAGAATGTAGTATTTCGCTTTCTGGTGCCTAGATCTTAGAAACAATGACAGTTACGATGAATTTTTCCTTGCATGATTTATATTTTCTTTTCTTAGCCAGAGGAGAAAAAAAAAACAATTCAGTTCTCGGCGCGTACATGCACTTACACCTCCCCTAACCCAACAACAGTCAACTAATAAAACAAGTTAGGGTTAATTTTGGGTATCTAAGCAACTGTATACCTACCCCCCCAACCCAACAACAGTCAACTGATAAAACAAGTTAGGGTTAATGTTGGGTATCTAAGCAAGTGCGTTACCTACCCCCCCTCCCCTAACCCAACAACAGTCAAATGATAAAACAAGTTAGGGTTAATTTTGGTCAAGGGAGGGGTAGGTGCGCAGTTTCTAAGAAACTGACATTGATCCGCAGCTCTTTTCACAATGTTTGGAAATCAGACAAAGCCATCTGTTGTGTCTTGACAAATTATCTCTGATGGTCAGGTGGTTACAAGGGTTTTGGATTAGCCATGATGGTGGATGTCTTTTGTGGGATTTTATCGGGATCTGCTTTTGGAACAGACATCAAACGCTGGAAGGGACAAGAAGAGAGAATACATAATTTGGTAACAAAATGATTTCAGCTGTTTCATTCTCATTTAATTGGCATGTGGAAATGGAAATATTACCATCTGTTATTGTTTTACAGGGTCATTGTTTCATAGCAGTTAATCCTAAAGTATATACTGACGGATTTGAGGACCGTATGCAAGCTTCGATGGATCAGTACAGAAATTTAGAACCGGTTAGTATGCGATGGATGGTTGTATGAGTTATAGATAAAGGAGCAAACGAACACAGACAGATTAATTCGCAAACAAAAAAAAAAAGAAATTATAGGAAGAAAGACGGACGGATAGGCATGCACATAGATAGAAAGACTGACAGAGGGAACGATTTACTTTGAGTTTTTTAAGAAAAAATCCCTTCTGTATTTGTGGTCTCTAGGCAGAAGGTGAGACCGCGGTTTTCGTGGCTGGAGATCCTGAAAGAGAACACATGCGAAAAGTTGGTCAAGATGGGGGCATTCATTACCACGAAAATGTGCTGAAATCCATGGTTAGCTCGTTGATAAGTTTGAAAATTTTTACTGCGTAAGAACCCGCAGACAGCCACAAGGGTGTGACTCTCTGCAGCGAACTTGGGACTCTCTCCCTGTGGACGCGAGATTCTCTCCTGGCGGGGCGGGCGTGGCACTTCCCCGTGACACTTCCTCGCTCTCCAGCATATCAATCCCCTTATCAAGACATCGTAAAGGAATTGTTGAGAACAAAGGACCCAGAAATGGAGGTCCCATACACAAACTACCTACTATGTTAACCATTCTTGATATTTATACCCTGACATTAGTATGCATATTCTCCATCTTGTTCTCTATACATTTCCTATGGTGTTAACACGGAGAATTTGAATAACAATCGAGACCTTCTTTAGTTAGCGATCATTTCCTTGATTCTTGTAATCTTGATGT